TTAGTATAAATGAGGAGCTATATTACAAAACCAGACACATTTTTTTTGCCAAAAATGAGTTATGATATTTATCTGATAGCTTATTGAAATGTCTACAATACCCACTCATCAAACTTGTCTAAATTAAACAAATTCAATGGGAAATTCAATAGCAAAGTTCTACATTTGCTGCAAAACCAAACAAATTTTTGAGACTATTTTAACAAAAGCAGACAAATCCTACAGCCAATCAAACGACGTCAAGGCGGTAATTAGTGCACCAAATTATTGTGCGCAGCAAATAATTCTATTTAAAAAAAGTTTTTAAATTTTTAAATAGAATATAAATTGGAGACGCTTGTCATCGATTGTAAAAGTTTTATATTTTATATTAAATTTTGTCATGTATTATTCAGGTGATGTTTTATCCGGGTGATGTTTTATCCGGGTGATTTTTTATCCGGGTGATTTTTTATCCGGGTGATTTTTTATCCGGGTGATGTTTTTTCTCTGCATTTTTAGCAGGTGAACTTTTATCCGGGTGATGTTTTTTCCTACCACCGTCAGTCAGTCGGTCGGCTTAGGGTATATATTAGAGAAGGTGTATATTAGCTCGAACGATGTCTTGTTGGCGAAATAAAAACCCAATACAGAGTTAAAATTGTTTTTATTAAGTGATAAAACTTCGTGTACCGTCTGCAATATCTACACTAGTGTTTCGAACTCAGTTCTCTTCAGGAATGTGCAGACGGGAGCACTAAAATTATTCGTATTGACTCCCGAGTAATTATAACCGATAAATATCATAAATTTTTAACTAAAAACAATAAATAACACTATAAAAAATTATCGACAATGCATGTAGGAAAAGATAAACAATAAACGTAAATATATTGTATTGTAATATATATTTATATAAAAATATATAAGTATATTTTCACTGGGCCGTCAGGTCTGATCGGCTTTCGCACGACCAAGGGCCTGTTTTCACTGGGCCTGTCAGTCAGTCGGTCGGCTTTCGCACAACCCTGGCCTGTTTTCACTGGGCCGTCGAGTCTGATCGGCTTTCGCACGACCAACACAAAACAACAAGAGTCAGAACAACACTGGAAACAAATTGTGTGACTTTGGTACGCGTGCGAAACTATGCCAATGAGCATAGAGTCTCGTACCAAATCCAC